GGTCTTCCTGATTCAGCAGTATCAGGGAAAAAAACCAATAATGCACAGTTTCAAAGCAGCAACACAAACTGATCTGGCTCTTTCAGGAGGCTGAGCACTTGAATGGTGTTTATGGGCCTGGATACTTTTATGCACACTCGTGGTCAGGAGGAAAGTAACTGAGACCATGCCCATGGCTCAGTGCTCCCCACCTAGGAAGGCAGCAGAATCCGGTCTACTAGGTGTGCACAAGCAGGAGAGCATGGCAGATTCCTGCTTCCATACACAGGCCACTCAGTGTGCTGCATGGTAGATTTAGCTATTACTCAGATAAAAAGGGTTTATGTGCTGCACATTCTTTCTCAGAGTTAAAGTGGTGAGCAAGACTCCTACCTGGTGGTCCCAGAGCTGGTGGTAATGGAATAGCCGCCATTTTGAAAAGCAGAGAGAGGCAGAGCCAGCACCCAGGGCTGCTGCAACCAAATTGCTTACCATTTTAAAAGGTCTCTAGGACAGAAAAGGCCTACAGATATACGATAGGACAGATTTAGACATAAAAGTCCTGTAAACAAGACACAGTGTGTTTAAAAATGTATGTAGGCTTAGGAGAGAGAAGAAAAAGAATAATAAAACAGTAAATGTAATATAAAAGAGTGCATACAGTTATAGATTAAAGGAGGAAAGATAATAAAATAACTATTAAACTTGTAGAAAAAGTAATAGAATAAGAAAAATAAGCCATGTAAAGATGGATTATGCACAGAGAATCTGGATTATGTATATTATTGTGTTTTCTTTGAATTTTTTGACTGTGGAGGAGCTAAGTAATGAATATGTATACTTTAAAGATATCTTGTCTTTAAAACTTGGGTCTAAGCATATGTTGCTTTGGAAAAACGGTTCTTCTTTTGTTTCCTCAGAGGATGAGAACCTCTGGACTCCTTCCAAATTAATGAGGTTTGATAAACCAAGACTCTCCAAAAGGTCACCCTGAATACACCCCCAAATTACTTTGCCCAACAAAAGCATGAAGCAGTTAGGAGAAAACTACACCCAAATTCCCTAAATGATTGTTTTTAAATGTTTGTTTACATTTAAAGGGGATATGCTATAGAGATTTGCGTTGGTATGGATCTTACTTTATTGATAAAAGTTTTAGGTCAATTTTGTTATATGTGTATTTCTGTTCTTGATTAAAGTATTGTGTTTGTACAGCTTATTTAAAAATGTAATATGTAATTAAGAAATATAGGTTGATAGTAGTCTATAATAGTCAAACTTGTAGTCATGTTAGTTAGGTTTTCTAGATGTACAGAGATATATTTCGGATGGATTGATATTCTTTAGATCTTTCAAAGACTAACAGAATATGGTATTTAAAATGTTTAAGAACTTAGGACTTTTTATGACATGAGACAATCTGCTCCTGGCCACACCAATCTATTTCAAGAGGAAGATGGGCACCAAAGAGGCTCCTTGTGGAGTTTGTTAGTCATTTGGACAAGAAACTGCTCTTGCCTGTACTGCTTGATGATATGCTGTGTGGACTGAATATCCTGGACCCACAGAGAAATGACTGCTGAACTTGCCTAAAGGTGAGATGATTCTTCAGGGTTCCTGCTACATAAAAGAGTCTGCTAGACATTCTGCAGGACACAGATGGACTACTGATGCTACTGATTGACTTTGCCATCACAAGGCAGAAGAGATCTTCAGATTTCCTACTTCATGGAAAAGTGTGCTGGATACTAAGGGCCTATAGGCTGAAGATAGACTCCAGTGATAAAGAAGAACTTTGGGTGACTGTCCAGGCAGCAAGATGTCTCTGTCAATTCTAGAGTTTTGGAAGTTGTTTACTTAGTTAATAATATATCCTTCTGTAGTCTTTGATGGAGTTGAAGAATAGATATTTATAATTATAGTTTCCTTAGTTATAATAAAAGGTAAAGGAAATATAAATATTGTAACTATAATTATTGCTTGATACCTGTTTTGTTATATGTAATTTTACTATGTTAAAGTTAAAACCCTCCTTTTTATTTAAACAGAAATGGGAAAATTGTGTGGTAAGTCCTTCTGTATATGTGCTGCTTTTATTGGCTATTGAATAAAGAAGCTGCTTTTGAACAATGGCTTAACAACATATAGCCAGGCTAAAAGATATGTGTGTGTGTGTGTGTGTGTGTGTGTGTGTGTGTGTGTGTGTGTGTTAAGCTCCATATTCCCTTTTGCTAGGAGTATTAGCTAGAGTCACCCTCATATATTCCTGGAAATGACCTATGCTCTAGGTTTCTACTTCATCCCAGAGATACTTCCAGATTCCAGTTGTCTCTCTTAATAACAACAACAAGGGATATACATATACATACACATATACTCTTCTACATCATAAGTCAGGGTAGAAACTCAAACAGGGCTGGAACCTGAAAGCAGTAACTGATGTAGAGACCATTGAGGGGTGCTACTAACTGACTTGCTTCTGTTCTTGATGGTCAACCCCTTGTACTGGAATCACTAGAATGCTGAAGTCTCTTCTTCTGCTGTGCTTCCCTTTCACCAATAACTTTTCTTGGTTTCTCTCTTTTCTTTGCCCTTTCCGAAAAAATTTCCTTGTTTTTATATCCCACACAAACTTTCACTCCCTTTTCTCTTCCCAATCACCCCACTTACCTTCTGCTTATCCATTCGTCCTCTCTGTTTCTCTTCAAATACAGGTAGACATCCCACAGATAGAGTGAGCCATGGTATATCAAACTGCAGTGAGATCAGGCACCCTCTCTCCACCAAGTTTGGATGAAGCAATCTAGTAGGAGGAATGGGTTCCAAAGTAAGGCAACAGAGTCAAGACAACCCCTGCTCTCACAGCTAGGAGTTCCACATGAGAGACCAAGTTACACAACTTGGTGTGTGTGTGTGTGTGTGTAGAAGGCCTAGGACAGTCCCATGCAAGCTCCCTGGTTGTTGTTATTAGGAGAAACAACTGGAATCTGGAAGCATCTCTGGGATGAAGTAGAAACCTAGAGCATAGGTCATTTCCAGGAATATATGAGGGTGACTCTAGCTAATACTCCTAGCAAAAGGGAATATGGAGCCTAACCAGTATTCTCCTGTAACCTGGTAAGAATTCCAGTGGAGAGATTTGGACACAAACCCTGCCACAAACCCTTCCATTGGTTCTGCTTAAAAGATGTGCTGAGGTAAATATTACACAGAATTTGTGGGAGTGAGCTCTCTTCATTGTACCAACCTGAAAATTTCTCCATGACCCTTTCAATTCTGGGGGCTTCAACTGCTACTGAGTTTACATTTTTCCCAATGGCTTATCCTGGCCTCACACAGTGACAAACCCCAGCTACTTTTCATGACCACTCCATGCCTTCAAAATCAGTACTACCTTGGAGACACATTACCAAGTTGGACTGCTAGTGTGAGGTGCAACCTTGGCCAACCCTGAAATGCACCTTCAGTGTGCTGATTCTGAGGAAACCCTTTTCAGAATATTTCACCTGAATGATATTGGTCTCTTCTTAATCACTGCTAATTTCTTAGCTCCTGCTGATGAGCATTGGCTGTGCCAGGATGTGACACGGTAACTCTGAAAACAAGCTCACAACAATACCAAAATTATTATCAAACTCAACTATCAAGTGAAAAATGTATACACTGAAAATACAAATACCGAGGAAATGTATGTTATAAGACACTGACAAGAATAGATATATTACTCTTATAGATTGGAATATTTAATATTTAAGCATCTTCACTAACGGTGATGTGCAGATTTAATGCAAACTCTAGAAAAACCTCAATGGCAGTTTTACATATAGGGGAAATAAATCCCAAGATTTTCATGGAAACACAAAATCACAGTGATCCAGTTTACTTGTTATGGTTAGCTTGCTGAATGTCTCTCAGCGACATACCTGTTGAAGTCTTGGGCCCAGGTTTTTATGAGGAAGAAGAACCCTTTAAGAGATGAAAGTCTGATGGGAAGTGCTTACGTGTCTAGGGGACATAGATCAAAGGAGGCTGTGGGACTCTGCTCTCTTTCTCCCCTCTGCTTTCTGACTCCTGAGATACTGATGGATTTTCTCTGTTGTATGCTTCTGCTGTGGTTTGCTGCCTCATGAGATGCTCAGAGAGATAGAAAAAAAAACATATTGCTTCGAATAGAATGTTCTTGAATTGTGAGTCTAAGTAAGATGTTTCTTTTTTCTATTTGTTTTAAAACATTTATGTTTGTATTATTTTTGATAATTTCATGCAAGGGTACCGTGTGTACATTATTCTCACCATATACTTCCCTGCCCCCATGTTCTAGCCTGAACACCTACTCAGGCCCAATGCCATGACCTCCTCATCTTTTTAAATTACAGAGAGAGAGAGAGAGAGAGAGAGAGAGAGAGAGAGAGAGAGAGAGAAAGAGAGAGAGAGAAAGAGAGAACAACATACAATATGTTGACTTCATTTAGTATTGTCATTTTTCAGGTCTTGCTTGTAACAACATTGTTAAGATTTTATGGGCATAACTCCCTGTCATATATAGCTGGGTAGTGGTGGTGCATGCCTTTAACCCCAGTGCTTGGAAGACAGAGGCAGGTGGATCTTTGTGAATTTGAGGCCAGTCTGGTCTAAAAGAGCTAGTTCCAGGACAGGCTCTAAAGTAACAGAGAAACACTGTCTTGAAAAACCAAGGAAAAAAAGACACTACCTTGTGGCATTCTGGTTCTCTGGCTCTGACAATCTAAATGAACTTTATTCTGTAGCAGAAGTTTTGATTCTCTGACTCTACTGACTGTGCGGTTCCCATTCCAAAAGATACATCTAAACTGTTCCTTTTTTTTGTAAGTTATTGGGTTTGGATATTTATACATACTGTTGCAAGTCTGACTAACATAGCAAATTGGTACCAAGATGTTGTGCTTTTCTATAAATATGAAAGATAATATGAAGTAGCTTTTGTCATTGAATTATGAGACGAATTTGCAAGAATATGAAAAAGTAGGTTAGAGACAGTCTACAGTGCTATAACTGGAGTTTAATGAGTGATCGTGTTGGGAGACGCTAATAGAAATGTGGATCAAGGGACTGGAGAGATGACTCAGCTGTGAAGAGGGCATACTGCTCTTGCTGAGGATTGGAGTTCAGTTCTTAGCATTCACATCAGGCCGCTCCAAACTGTTGTAACGCCAGACACAGGATATCAAATGCTTCTGGTTCCTGCAAGGACTCACTCCCACATGCAATTAACCATGCTCAGACACATACCACACAGCATTAAAAATAACAAATATTAAGTTAAAGAAGAAGTATGGGTCTAAAAGTCTGTAGTCATGACGCTTCATGTGAAAACGGAGACTCTGTTATGAATCAGATTCAAGACTCCTGATTATACCGCAGCAAAGACTCTGTATTGATTTTGTCTACTCTTGTACCTTTGTGGGACTCTGATCATAAAGGTGATATGTCACTTTATCTGCCAAGGAGCTTTTAAGACAGCAAAGCTGTGACTTGAGTAACGTTGGCTGTTTGAGTTAAATTTATAGTGTAAATTGTGAGCAATAATTGAAACTTTGCAATTTAGCAAAAAAACAAAAACAACAACAACAAAAAAACCAGCAACAGTCCCCACCCAAAACCACACACCAAAAAATATGAATGAATTAAGGATGCATCCACGATGAGGACATTTGCTAAAGAAATTATCACCAACAGAAAAAAGTCACAGGTTTGGCATCAGGATAATAAGAAAGTTTTATGTCCTCTGCTGGGCTTAGGATTCTTCACTTTCTGTAACAGTGGTTTAGTGGTCATGAATTTATTTAATTCACACTGATCTTAGAAAGTATTTCTCCTTTTCTCCTTTGGGTCTAAATAATAATTTTGCTGCAAATAGTAATCTAAGTTAGAAGTTCTTGTCTGTATTTTAACTATATCATTACATTCCCCTTTGTCCTTAGGAGTTTTGCTAAAAAGTTGTATTTTTCTTCATTCTTATTCAATATGCTTTCTTTTGAAATTTTATATCATTCAGGCCAGAGAACAAAATGAAAACATTATGAATTGGAAATAAAAAAGTTCTATTATCCTTGTTTGTAAATGGCATTACTTTATTCTTATCAAGAGACTCTTTATTATTTCATAACAAATTCAGCAAAGTGGGAGAATCAATATACAATATAATAGTTATCTAATTAAGAAAGAGAGCAGGAAAAAACCCATTCACAATAAATTTCAAAAATACTTAGTAATAAATCTAAGCAAAATGATAAAAGGGCCTCTACAATGACAATAATTCAACACTGGATAAAGATGTTATGTTAATACTAACAGGTTGAAAGGACTTCCATGCTCATCTTTAAAATGGCTTTATTCACAGAAGTAATCCATAAATTCAATGCAATTTCTATTAAATAACCAGGAAGAATTTATATGAAAATAGAAATAATAATAATAAAGTTACTTCAAAGCTCAAAATATATCAAATAACCAAAGCAATTCTAAGTAAAAAGATTAACTAGTGGTTTTATAATATCAGATTTCAAAATATACTATAGAGCCACAGTAACAAAATCAGCATGAAACACATACACACACATTAGACTAAAATAGATATTTAAATATAAATGTCATGTTTAATAATCTAATTTTATGAAAAGGATGCCAGTTAGTTGTAACTATTGCAACAAGCTAGTAGGCATAAATAAAATAGATACAGATTTAGAAAGAAGACACATTTTTTGTATTCATAGACCATATGATTATGTAGATAATCCCATTGAACCAACACAGAATATATATTAGTATACAGAGTATTTTAATAAGACACAAGAAATCTATCATATTCCCACATAATAATGATGGCCATATAAAAACCAAAATTAAAAATATAGTACAATCAACTCAAAGAATATATGTTATATACAAGATTAATAAAACATGCATGATTTATATGCTAAGAATTATTGTGTACTGATAAAGAAGTCAAGCACAGACATTCTTTTCTTATCATTTTCAAGAACATATAATCATTGATTAGAAACAAACATTACACAGTTCTTGGCTTTCTTCAAATTGATCACAAGATTAATGACCTTTCTATCATAATCCATGAAATTTCTTTGTAGATACAGACATGTTTTTCTAAAGTTATGTAACTGTGCTGAGCAGTTATATACTAGTATTGAAATAGAATCTGAAGTAGGAATAACCATTTCAATAAATGGTGCTGTGATAAGGACCATGAAGAAGAATAGGGTTTGTCAAGGAAGGACAAAAAGAAATTACTGTTAGAGAGTGATAATAGGAAACTATACAAGGAGGATTAAATAGGGAGGGGCAGGACGGAAGGGTAAAGGAGAATATGTGGGGTAAGACATCTACCACTAAAAGTCATTTGAAAAACCATATAGAGACCTACAGCTGTAGAGGTTTCCTAAAGTATGTACATATTTAGAAAGAATCTAAATGAAATTACCAAATAATAGGAGAGACAGTATCCAAACTAGACATCTTATATGACCAAGTACAGTCTCCAGTGATAGGAGTGTGTTACATTTTGTTGAGTCCAATGAAACCCTCAAAGTATCACAAGCTGTTGCTAAGGCTATTGGTTGCTCTCTAGAATCTGGTAGTAAGATCTGGCTGCTAAAGACAACTGTTATTTATGTTATCAAAGATGGAAAAGTCAAGCTGGTGGCTTGCAAATAAGTATATCTCTACAAACTAGTGTTTATGGTGATGAAAGTTGCTTTGCATATTTCTGGAGGAGAAACTATTCATCAGTATCATCCAGATACAGACTCTGCAACATACAAAAGTAACCCGTGTTGTGCAATATTAGTTTAAGATGTGTTATATTTGTTTATGCTGTGGAATATTTGTTTAATGATGCAAAGATGTGTTACATTCTTTTATGTTGCATTTTTTAACTCTATGTAGCTGTGTTATTTTGCCTGCCTGACACACCTGATTGGTCTAATAAAGAACTTAACAGCTCATACCTAGGTAGGAAAAAAGATAGGTGGGTCTGGCAGGCAGAGAGAATAAAAAGGAGGAGAAATATGGGAAGAGTAGATTGAGGAGTAAGAAAAGGAGAAGGACAGAGGGTACCAGGGGTCAGCCTCTTACCTATGCAGCAAATCACAGAGTAAGAAGTAAAAAATGTATATAGAGTAGAGAAAGATAAAAGTCCAGAGGCAAAAGGTTGATGGGATAATATAAGAAAAGCTGGCTAGGAAAAAGCCAAGCTAAGGGGAAGAATTCATAAGAAAAAATAAGACTTTATGTGATTTGCTGGGAAGCTGGGTGACAGACCATCCAAAAGAATGAAGAAATGAAGAGTAAGCAACAACCAACTACATACCTGCCTGCGAATACACTGACTGTAACAGTGGTAAAAGGTTCTGAGAGTAACCAACCACTTTTTGATTGGATTCAAGGTTCACTACATGAGACAGAACCCATACCTGACACTGTTAAAGGCTGGGAGTAGAACCTATTTTCCACTGGAGGCACTTATTGATAAAATGATTCCTAAAGACACAATACAATACCCGTAGATCAATGCTTCATTCATCAAATAAATTTCTTCTTGCAGTATATGACAACAACCCTGAAACTCACAACTGGACAATGTTCAGAGTGGGAGACTTTAGAGTATTCAGTACTAAATGAGATGTCTTCATCAAAGATCTATGCTTAATTCCCAGGGATCTGTATTGAAGAGGAGTCATAAATATTGTAAAAACCAGTCTGACTTCAAGGAGATGATGTCTTCCATACAAAATAGGGCTGATACACATACGAACTCAAGAAGACTTTGACAGCGTACACAAAGCCTACACATGTACAAGCCAGATGTAGTCCCAGCACTGAGAGGAGAAAGTGGGATGGCCTCTGTGCTGACTCATTTTATGTCAAGTAGAAACATGGTATAGTCATCAGAGAGGAGGCAGCCTCAGTGGAGAAACTTCCTCCATAAGATTCTGTTATATGCAAGCCTATATGGCATTTTCTTAATTAGCAATTGATGGGGGAGCATTCATTGCAGGTAGGAACACCACTGGGTTGTTTGTTCTATGGTTTATAAGAAAGCAGTCTGAGCATGTCATGAGGTGCAATCCAGTAAGCAGCACTTTTCCAAGGCCTCTGCATCAGCTTCTGTTTCCAGTTTTCTGCCTGGTTTCAGTTCTGGTCCTTAATTCTTTAGATGGATGTCCTTAGTTAAGACTTTTATTTCTGTGAAGAGATACCATGACCACAGCAACTCTTGGGTGACTTACAGTTCAGAGACTAAGTTCATTATTATCATGGTATGACATGGTGACATGCAGACAGACATGGTGCTTGAGAAGGAGCTGAGACTCCTTCATCTTGACCTCTAGACTAAAGGAAATGGTCTGAGATACTGGATGTGACTTGAGCATATATGAGACTTCAAAGCCCACCTTCATAGTGACATACTTCCTCCAACAAAGCCAGATCTACTCCAACAAAACCACACCTCCTAATAGTGCCACTCCCAATGAGCTTGTAGGAGCCAGTTACATTCAAACTATTACAATAATGAGCAGTGATGTACACATGTAAGCCAAGTAAACCCTTTTCTCCCAAATTACTCTTGGTCATGGCATTTCATCACAGCATTAGTAATCATAACTAGGATAAATTTTACCACTAATAAAGAAGCTATCTGCAATTGACACCTACTGGTAAAGGAGAAATCATTTTTTTTTTTCCAATGAGGCTCACTGATCTTCTTAACCACAGTCCAGGGCAACTCCCATATCCAGGAAGTGAAAGATGGCCAACACAAACTAAAGTCTACTTTTTGTTTTTTTGGCTTTGTCATTGCTTGTTTTATGTTTGGGCTTGGGGTTTTTTAGTTTTTTTTTTGACTCATTTGGTTTTTTGTTTAGATGCTAGTTTTTGTGAGGTGCTGGGTTTTTTGTTTTGTTTTTGAGAGAAAAATAAATTTGATTGACTAGGGAGCTGGAGAGGATCTGGGAGGAACTTGGAGAGAGGAAACATGACCAAAACATATTATATGAAAAATGTTTTGATTAAAAATAATAAAAAACAGAAAATATCTTAGCCAAAAAAGAGAGTGAAGAAAATAAAACAGAACTGAGTCTCTCATATTTGAGTATTTTGAATTTTGAATTATGGTGTGTTAGTCTTATAAAATGATTTATTGCCTTTTTCCCATTCTTTTTGAA